TAGCCATCCTCCTAAATGACCCTTGTTGGGTTGATGGGGGCTTAACGCACCCAGGCTACAATTTGAATTAAGACGACAGCTCAAGTTCATTTGTGAGGCAACGTGGCGGAATCAGGCTCTCGTCAATTTTTGGGCATGTAGAGTTATTGATATCATCTTAAAGCTTGTTCACTTGCCTTTATTTGGATGAAAAAAATATCCCTTTATTTTGAATACAAGTCGAGATATTTGTGTAAGAAGGAGGTGGGGGTCACCTGTTTTCAGAGGTAAAATGAGCGAGAAAATGGCCATCCAAGTTGAGTCAATGAAAATTTACATCTTGTGTCCTTTTAATCAACCCTTTTTCAAGAAAATCCACAAAGAAATGTGTTCTTTAATGGGCATAAAAGGTGTTGAACCAAAAAACAAAAATTCGATATAAATTGCCAAACCGGCAGAAAAATGCCGGTATCTTTGATTTCCTTATTTTGATGAGCGCCTGATTCCACCACAATGTCTCACATATCACTGTGTGTACAACCTGTAAGTACAAATTTACAACTTTGCGGTATTTTCTTGAAGAAATCTTTTGAAACCCTTTCTATATCGTGAGGAATTGAAATATATAACAACAAAGTAACAACCCTGCAACATTCAATAAGTGCACTTAGACTGTGTGATACTGATTGCTAGTCGGAATATACTCATTGAAAAACAAAAACAATACAGACACACCCAAAGAAAAGAGGAGAAGAAAAATGTACCTACCCCCCAAAAAAATAATAATAAATAAAAATAAAATAACAGCATATAAAAATAGATTGCAAAATTTCACTTCAACAAACGTTTACAGAAAAAAAAAATCTCAAACAAATCTGTCATGAACCAGAAACATATTAAATGGAAAACATTCCCCACAGTAACAAAATAAGAGGCAAAAATAATCCAATTGACAGCGAAAGGAAAGTCTATTATTTTTTTTTAAGTAAATGACAAACAAACAGAGTATGTAACATTTACACAGACCCTGACACGTTCCTGAGAGCGACAGCCACAAACTGAAATGTTCACACAGTTTTTGGCTAGCTAATACGGCAACAGGCACAGAAACATATACCATTATGTTTTCAACGGAAACATTAGAAAAAAGGAGAGTCATTTGTGTTGCAGCGTGGTGGAATCAGGCTCTCGTCAATTTTTGGGCACGTAGAGTTATTGGTATCATCTTAAAGCTTGTTCACTTGTCTTTATTTAGATGAAAAAAAATATCAATTTATCTTGAATACAAGTCGAGATATTTGCCATTGAAGGAGGTGGGGGTCACCTGTTTTTAGAGGTAAACTTAGTGAAAAAATGGCCGCCAAAGATTAGTTATTTCTTTATCTTAATAGTCCGTGGTAACTGAAAATTTACCTTTTTTGTACCTTTAATCAACGGTTTTCAGAAAAATCCACTCAGAAATCAGTTCTTTAATGGGCATGAAAGGTGTCGAGCCAAAAATCAAAAATTTGATAAAAGTTCACAAACCTGTGAAAAAAATGCAAGTTTCTTCACTTTGATTATTTTGACGAGAGCCTGATTCCACTACGCTGCCTCACATTTGAAAATGTTAAGAAGGAAAGTGGCAGGTAAGTAAAAGAAACAAGCAGAGCAGACATTAGCAAGTGTCCGCAGGAAAACCTACAAGCAAGCTTGAAAAATGTCAAACATCAATTTGTACCTCCCAGCACGTGACAAGGTAAACATTTCTTTTTGCCTTGCCAGCAGATTGTCGCCAGAGAGTGTGAAAAGTAAAGAAAGAAATTCTTTTGAGATGTCTGTCAAGTTGTAATCAACATAAACAACAAGAAATAACAGGGTAGAGCATAGGAAGCTGTCAAATGAAGGGATGGTAAAAACAGAAGCATAAACTACAACAAAATAGGTTCTTTTAGCAAGAGTAAAGTTATCACAAAATTAGGATAGCAGATTCCCCAAATAACAGGACGAAAGATATTCAACTCATTTACAGAACATGTAACGCTAGGCTCTCAGCCCCTGACAAAAAATAAGACAGGTCTGATGTCCCTTTCTTGACATCTTAGTTTTTGCTCAATCTAGCAGAGATATTTTATATATATATATATATTGTCTTTGCTGCTAGATTCTGGAAAACTGAAACCGTAGCTAACCCATTGTTGCAAAGCAACATACACTTTTTTCAGCTAACAATGTGTTTTCGTAAACAGCAAGAAGCAAGCGAATACACCGTTGTACAATAGAAAGCCTCTCGTGTCATTTGTACAGACTGGTATTTCCAAAATTCTGTCGTCGAAATGAAATTCTTGAAAAAAGGAAATGTTTAAATTGCACATACCAAAATCAGAAGTTTTGATGGCTGCTATCTTTAGCTTAGCAAGTCTTGTATTTCAATTTTAGTAGGAGTTTTAGAGCACTTGCAACACAATGAGGTCATATGAGTGCCGAAAATTAAAAGTGTTGCAAGAGAGGCATAAACACAAAAAAGAAGGAGGAGAGATACAGACGATAGATGTTTGAAAGGAAAGAAGGACAAATCACACCCGCCTAGAGCACCCACCGACCAACCGCACCAGCAGGTTCGTGGGTGTGAGGGTTTTTCTTGGAGTAAAGAGAGACACATTGACACAATGACTGTCACTTAGTGCTCAGAAACGTAAGATAAAAAGACACAAACACTAAGGGGGGGGCTCTCGCGGTATAGAGCAGTCCTCGTGGTTTTATGCACCCCGCACAATTTAGCAAAATTTGATCATTTTTGACATAATTTCTGATTTTTTTTCTTTAACATTCTTTGTTAAAAGTAACAAAAACGCATAATTTCACATTTTTGGGCTCAGTTTGTATAATTTCAGAATTTTTCTTGCATAAAACGACGGGGACAAATAGAGGTTAAGGTGTTCGCCCATTATTCAATAGGTCCCAGGTTTGAGTACGGACAGCGACGAAAAATTTTCTGCTTAAAATGTTCTCCTTTCACGTCCTTTCCTGCTCTCTAACAATGTTCTGCTGTCTGCTTTCGTCTCCACTTTCTGCCACCACCCCCACACCTCTTTTGCCACCTCCTCTGGGCTCTGACTCTTTTCGCAGCCTTTTTACTGCTACTCCTAGACTCTTTCTTACTGCTGTCTTTCAGCCACATCCCTGGTCTCATGGTAGGTAAAATCTACACCTAGCCTTCTTCGATAAGGGCGAAAAATGTCGAAGGTCCCGTGTACAAGTTGCGCACGTGAAAGATCCCTTGGTGGTTCAAAATGGAAAAGAGTAGACTTCGACTGCCACCCGAGCAAAAGTCAAAATTTCCTACCAATTGAAAATGTTTTATGTGTCCCGCACGCTCATATGACCTTATACAGTTGCAAGCGCCGTAAAACACACACAAAAAACAACAAATAGAAGCCCCAACAACCCACCACTAGAAGGAAAGAAAAGAAGGACCTGCCAGTGGCACCCACCAAACATCTGCTTGGACGAAGAGGGAAGTAACATACAAACCCTGAGTATTTGAGTCATAGATGTTCTCAGATAGCCAAATTCCGCTCATGAATATTATTAATTAAAAAGTATACTCAGATATAATATACACTAGTGATATCTACATATATATATATAGAGAGAGGCATCTCTTTGTTGCATTTGTATTCTTTCCTCCTCAGTCATTCTCTTTTCTTCACACAGATTTACTTATACAGACTTCAACATAAGTCAAGGACCACTTTGACAGATGGGTCTGATTTTTAAATATCCGAAAAAAGACAGCAAGAAATGTTTCAAATTTTTTTGCTCTGAAAGTGTTAATGGGTTAACAATGCGTACTACAAAGCTTCTTCAAGGGGCAAAACCACAACGTGCAGCACGGAAATTCTCGGGGAACTTTAGCCAAATTTACAAGTGATCCTTAACTTATGTTGAAGTCTGATATACGGTCATGTGACCCACAGTCAAACAACATACTTTGGTCTGTTAGAGCATTTCTAAAATTCAAAAAAAAAAAAAAATTAAAAAATCAAAGTCTTGAAAAGAGACAGTCAGTAGTGAGCCCTGAACACACAGAGTCATGACAACTCAGAGGATTGCCACTCTGCTGTGAGTGAGTCGGACAGTTCTCCTTTCCATCATAATATGTGAGGCATCTTGGTGAAATCAGGCGCTCGTCAAAACAATGAAATCAACGAAACTGCCGTTTTTCTGGCCTTTGGGCAATTTTTTTCTAATTTTCTCTTTTTAGCTTAACACCTTTTATATCCATATGAAAACACATTTCTGAAGGATTTCTACAGAAAAACGTTGATTAAGGCACAAGATTTGTAAATTTTCAGTTTCCAAGGACTCTCAAGCTATAGAAATTACCAAACTTTGGGCGGCCATTTTCTCGATAATTCTACCTCTTAAACCAGACGACCCTGACCTCCTTCAAAGGCAACTATTTCAACTTTTAATTCTACATTGACGGATATTTTTTCCACCAAAAGCAAGGAACATTAACAATCTTTTAGATGATACCAATAACCTTATATGCCCAAAAATTGACGAGCGCCTGATTCCACCACGTCATCGCACATATGAGTTCTACAGGACAACAGTGCACTGTTCTTTTTTTCCACTCTCAGCTCATTGACAAGCAGCTCCTCAGCTTTTGCAACAAGAGAAAAAGTTGTATTAAAAACATAGGTAGATCGACTCCTGAAAAAAAAAACCCACGTCACCCTTCTCCAAGAACAACAAGGCAAGTGTGAAAAAGTCCATACTTTCCAAAGCCACCGTCTGATTGTCCTGCTCTCTGTTGATGAATTGTTTTCTTTTGGTTTCTGAAAGAAAATTTTCACTTGGCAACGGAAGAAATCCTGGGTGCGTGGATGGTGGAGCTCTGGTGTGGTCTGATCCTTCTTTCCTATCAAACATCTGTCGTCCTAATCACTCCTCTTTCTTTATTAGTGTTTGTTACTCTCTTGTAACACCTCTAATCTTTCGGTACTTATATGACCTAACTGTGTTCAAGTGCCGTAAAACTCTTACTAAAACAAAGAAATCCTTAGAGATTTCAGAATTGTTCTTTTGGGACGTTAATTAGGCAGCGAAGAAACCACAATGAAGCTCTCCAAAGTTTTCCTTATATGAGTTTCCTTAAGTAGAGAAGCAATTCCTCGAGAAACTGTTGAGCTCTCTCCTTGAATATGCCTAGAACACATATTCAGATGTGTGCAGTATGCTGGTTTGAAACAGGATGAGAAGAATGAACGCTGTGACGATGATGGAGAATATCAAATGAGACGGCAATACAGTGATGTGAAACAGTTTCCCCTGGGGACAGAACAAGAAAAAATGTATAAATGTTAGAGAATATTTTCTATTTATTGAGTCATGAACCAACTTTTAATCTATATAATCACTGCAATTGAGAATTAGTAAAAATAAATATATATAAGAATGACTAAAAGTTGAACCTCACCAAAAACAAAACAAAAACATCACATAAAAACAAAATTACAAGCAAACAAAATGTACAGAAAAAAACAGAATCAGGTTTGAATTCTACCAATTAGAACTGATAAAACTATTATTAAAGAAAAATGAAACTACTATCTCTTCTATAAGAACAGAAAGATCTCAAAAAGGTCTACACACTATTATACACGTGCTTATGTTTACTCACCTAGAACAAATTATATCCCATCAAATAAATTTAATATTGTATGCAAACGATCGTAGAGTAATCTTTGAAACTTGAACATTTGAATAGTTTTCCTTTCCGGTGCCTTCATCGCAGGAGGAAAACATAGCCCAGCCAGTTAGGAATCTACACTCTAGTCACAGCCAAGTATGAATGACTCGAATATGTTACAGGTAGCTAGAAATATAAAGTGAAGGCCTTCAGAAGCTTTAGCTTAGAATTTCATATGCTACAATATTATAATGAATTAGATAAACGTTTGAGTTTACAGAAAAGTTAAGTAGATTTTTAGTGCATAATGCTTCATTAACTTCACTTTCAGTAAGTTTAATCCATACATCCACCCGAGGTATAAAAAAAACAGAATTCTAATTCATGCCAATATGATATTCCTTAAGTGGCTTAAACAAATCTGGCAACGTGTAATGAGCTTTTCTTCATAAAGCTATGGTGTGCACAGCAATTATTTTACAGCAAAGACAATTGCAATAAAACGAAATATTGATTCTGTGAGCAGCTTAAAAGTACGTATAAATGAAGCTTCTTTTCCTGTCCTTAAAGAAGACCCCAAACAACATAGAGAAAATAATACTTACTTTCAACTTTGTGATTGTGACAAAATGTAGAAAAGAATCCAGATCTATGATGGATGCCCCTTTGTAGCCAAAGACCCTCATCTCAATGGCTATCTTCTGTATTCTCAAGCAGATAGAATTCACACGAGCTGCCTGAAAATGCAAGGTGAAGAAATACTGTAGCTTGAATCTGCTTAGAGAAATATATAAATATACACAACACAGGCCATCTTTCAGGGGGCACTATCAAATGGTCGCTTTTGAGTACAAACGGGCTAACCCAGATTTCGGGGGTTTCCAGAAATCTTGACCTACACCAAAAGTGGACATCGCCCTACCTATAGGAGACGTTCTGTTTCATTGGTGAGTATATTTGTTTGGTTATAGAGAAAACTCTCCATGTCTTTTAAAGAAACTGAACAAGGGGCAAAAACTTTACATGTACCTTCGATTTTCTCAAAACAGCATTTTCCGGGATAGCCCCCTTGTGCTTAAAAGCGACCATATCATCGGATCATAAATATGCAGTGTCAAAACAAACAACAAACAGATGGTAAATAATGCTAGTTTTCCAGATATCTGAAGTGGAATGCACCTTGTGAATATTCCAGAAAGATAGCATCATAATATTATTCTACTGCATAATACAGAAATTAAACAATAAAATCAGAGTCAACTTGGTATTCATTTTTTTAAAAACCCAGCAATCAAAGAAGGTGAAATTGACGGTGATTATTTCATTTTTGTTGAGAATCAAGTCCTTTAACCACAAAAAAAGGTGATAAAGAGCATCTGATTCCCAGACTGGAAACTAGGCAGGAAGGAAACGTTTCCTGATTGGACCCAAAAAAACCCAAAACAACAACAACAACAACAACAACAACAACAGCAACAAAATTTTAAAAAGCAAAAAAAAACCCTGCAAAGATACTCATTACGACCTTTAAAAAAAACCCAGTTTATCAGGTTCAATTCTGTGTATCATCGCAGGCAACATACTCATTCTGAAAAGACAAAATATCCTTCCTCTTTGTAACTTGACACAAACTCAAACTGAGTAAGGTACACCTGCATCTGCAACAGATGAGGGCATTGGGGCAATGAAGTGGGGGTTTTTTTCCCAATCCCTTCTTACAAAACGCTATGGGTTTTGGTGAAAGCTACAGCTTTCGTCGTAAGAACTTTCAGGAACTCCCTTTAAAACATTTTGCCATTTACAGGAAACACTTCCATTCATAAAATGAAGGACAGTTAAACTCAACAGAAACATAACTGCTCTCTCTCGCTCTCTCTCTCTCTCTCTCTCTCTCTATCTATCTATCTATCTATCTATCTCTCTCTCCCCCCTCTTTCTCTCTCCCCCTCTCTCTCTCTCCTTCTCTCTCTCTGGCACTGTGACATCATAAGTGGTCAACACTTGCTCGGGGGTCCTTGAACAGTGCTGACCGTGGGCCGTTGAAATGTCCCAGCAGACGTGTTTTGGCACGACAGCTGGCTGGACATTTCAGGAACATATGGTCCATAGTCTCATTTGTTATTCACTGCGAATCAGCGTTAAATTGACAGAGCATTTTTTTACCCTATCCGTACGTCGTGTTTTACTATCGTGTCCATACGACGTGGGGAACTCTGTGCCACCACTTTCAAGAGAGGAAATTTACTGTTAATTCGATCCGTACACCTTGCATAGGAGTCTGTCAAAATGATTTTTTGAGAAATACTGAAAGTTTCAAAGAGATCTTCGTACTAGAAGTATTCTAAAAGGTGAAGAATACAACCCCGGGGGTACAAAATGACCCCAGGAAGTATGGATAGAGTTAAAATAAAGTATACAAAGCAGGCAATATCAAAACACCCTCCTACGTGCCACTCACCTGAAACAATGGGAAGCCCAACATGACTGCCCAGACAATAGGAAACAGAATTCTGTACACCCAGAGCCGCGGGTCATCGTGCTCATTGAGGAAGAGCACACAGAAACCTGAGGAGTCATCAAGCCAGACAATTAGCCTCAGATCTTAGAATAAAATAACTTTTTTTTTTTTTAATATGCTTTGAATTTCACATGGTAATGACAAGCGTAGCAACTAAAGCATAATATAATAACATCATTGCTGGTCCCCAAATAGCAACACTTTCTTTTTGCTTATGGCGGTTTAAAAAGACACTCAAGGATACATCTCAACAATTGAACCTTCAGTCCTTCATGACGGCAAAAACTGATTTTTTATGTCCTGGTTAATCTAATTCATGATAAGAACAACTTGACATGGATTTATGTGAGAATACAAATAAGTAAGTTTATTCAGTGTTTACGGCCATTGGCCAACGTCACATCATATAGAGCACTCATTTGTTAAATAAATTTTCCATATTGAAAAAGTACGGGCTGTGCACATATCTCTTATCATGGGTCAAACATTGCACATTTCTGTCACTGGGCCGAGTCTCGCTCGGAGGAATTAACAATTTCCTTTGGTGGACAAAGTATGGACAATAGAAAATAAAGTGAAATTCATCTTCAATTTAAATTAATGAGACTTACACCTCTCACATAGGGAGAATACAAAAAAAAAACCCTGTAGTATGGTAATCTTAGGTGTGTCTATGACCTGCCGTACCTATGATGGTGAGTTCAGCCAAGATGATGGAGGCCAGAGAAGTCATCTTGGAGATGGAGCCATTGAGGAGGCTCAGGCTTTGCCGCAACATCAGAACATCCTGGGGGGGGGGGGGAACAAGGGGACATTATTACTCTCTTATATTATATCCAAAACTAGGTTGAGTGAGCAACAGCCTCATTTGCCCAGTGGCCAAAAGTAAGTTTATCTCTCATGGTAACATAGTTGCTTCGATTCACTACAGGCTCCTGAGGGTGTAATAATATGTTCAGTCGAACCTTCTCTTACAGCCACCTCTATAAGATTTCCACCAGTACAAGCAGGGACTTTCTACCCTTGAATATTTTTGACAATGCTGTGAGCCGGCCACCTGTCTAAGATGGCCACTTTTCTCCATGCCAGGGGGCGGTCGTCTAAGACAATTACCACTGCAGTTATACACTTCACCTTTAATAATAATAATTGCATTTATATAGCGCATATCCATGCTCAAGAGCATGCTCTATGCGCTTTACAACTACTATTACCCCAGCAGACCCTCTGAGAACACTCAGAAACATTCTCGGCTTCCGCAGAAGCGTACAGTGCAATCTGCGGATTTCACGCGCTCAAACACTATCAAACTGACAAGATCGTTCACTGTCTAAAGCCGGGTACCCATTTCAACCTGGGTGAACCTTTGAGCTAACAAGCCCTTCTATGCGGTTGTCCCATTGAAGAATGAAGGAACTATCACAGGAAACTCACTGCACCTTCTGTGACAATACTGTTATCTCTGTGCTTCTTACCTACTTGCTATTTAACAAAGAGGACGAAACTATCTCCAAAAGTTCACTGCACTTTCTGCAATAATATTATACAGGATACACCCTCTTTGCTGCTCACCTTCATGGCCGACTTCAGATCCGTAGACTTCTCATGAAGCCTCATGGCCAGGCCTTTGACGTAGAACTTGATCATCTCACACTGAGTGGTGTAGTTCATCACAATAGCTAGGATCACACAGTTGAACACCGTTCGGCCCAGCAGTTCAAATGACAACAAAAGCCAGTAGCCCGTCGCCCTGTAGCGATAGACAGAAGTGATGCAATAGCTGGCACGCTCCTTCATCATGTTCTAACCTTTTACCTTGTTTACTACCACATCGAAACAAATCACTTAGGAGATGGGCTGCTTCACCCTGCATGTCAGGGCCAATTTTATTTTATTTGGGTTTTTTTTGTAAGTGTTTTACGGCGCTCACAACTGCATAAGGTCATATCAGCGCGTGGGACACATTAAACATCTTCAGTTGGTAGGACATTTTGAATTTTGCCCGGGTAACGGCTGAAGCCTACTCTTATCGATTTTGGACCACCAGGGAATCTTTAACGTGCGCGATTTGCAGGCAGGACCTCTGAGATTTTTTCACTTTTATCCGAGAAGTCAAGGTGTAGATCTGACCTACAATAGGATCAGGGGTCTGGCTGAAAGACAGCACTAAGTTTTTAAAGTTTTAGTAAGTTTTATGGCACTTGCAACACAATAAGGGCATGTAAGTGCAGAAGAAAAGATTACGAGTTACAAGAGAGTAACATACACAAAAAAGAAGGAGGGGAGATAAGGACGACAGATATTTGATAGGAAAGACGGAGCAAACCACACCAGAGCACTCGCCAACCACCCACAGACAGCAGTAAGGAGCCAAGCACTAACAGTAGAAAGGCTGCAAAAAGTGTCTGGAGCCCAGAAGAAGGGGGGGGGGGGTGAGGGGGTGGAGGAAGAAAGTGGAAACAAAAGCAGATGAGATAACATTGTTAGAGAGCAGTACGGAATGTGAAAGGAGAACATTTAGGAGAAGAAAGTTTTCCCTTGCAATCCGGATTCGAACCCGGGACCTATTGAATAAGAGGCGAACATCTTAACCTCGAGGCCCGGGGCCCCCCCCCCCCCCCCCCCCCCCCATGGACCGATCTGGGATGAGAAGGATACAATGCCCCAGCAGAAAGACGATCACACTCAACACACACTCAACAGAAATTCACCGGCTACAGTTACTCTTTTTTTAAAAGTATACATTTCATACTGAACAAACAAAATAAAGAATCTAAACGAACAACATACCCAATTTTCTCAAAAAGTGGCATTTTGGGGAAATCGAAGGCCCAAACGTACATGCCCTGTAAGACAACGGTGAAGAACACCCACACAGAGCCCAGCACCAAGAACAACCTGAGGGAATAAAACAAACTGTTATTTGTGAAGCTGACCAAAAGTGGGCATGCTTGTGAGTGTTGTGTGTTTAGGGGGGTTCCTGCGGTTATATGTTTGAAAGCGTATGTTTGTACGCATTGTGTGTGTGTGTATGTGTGTGTGCGTGAGTGCGTGTGTATGTGTGTGTGGAAGTGTGTGGGTGAGTGCCTGTGTGTCTGTGTGTGTGTGTCTGTCTGTATGTATGTCTATCGGTGTGTGTGCACGTGCACGCATGTGTGTGTGTGTGTGTGTGTGTGTGTGTGAATGTGTGTGTGTGTGTATGTATGTGTGTGTGTGTGTGTATGTATGTGTGTGTGTGTGTGTGTGTGTGTGTGTGTGTGTGTGTGTGTGTGTGTGTGGTGCCAAGGTAGACAGGGTCAAGATAGGCAGTGTCACAAGAAGCTTTTCCCAGGCTATCCCAGAAAATCAAGGGCAAGGGATGCAGGGGTAGGCCCAGAACAAAGATACTTAGAGAACCTAAACAAATGGGCAACAGGAAAAGATCAGGGAAACGTAGCTTTTTTGATAGCATCCGAGCAAAGGAATGAATGGAGAACCATGATCGCCGATGTCTGTCGCAGATCTGGCACTGGATGATGATGATGATGATCCCAGAAAGTGAGACTAAGGGAAAGATAGGGGTTCCCACTCCCACATACCTGAGTTTGCGAATCATTTTCTGCTGAGAAGCTGATCTCGCCTGGACTGGTGTGGCCTGGAGAAAAACCTGGGGAGAACACACACGTGGACACAATAAGTGGGTGGTAATGCTGCTGCTGCTGATTTTTTGTTGTTTCTTTAATAGGCCTGGTAGACTCCACGAAGATACCTTCGAGCGAGAGCGAGGCTCTTTTTCGGCTCCGATGATGATGATGATGATGGTGATGATGATGATGATGATGATGATGATGATGATGATGATGATGATGATGATGGAAAGGGATCAACACTAAAACTTAGCCTCCTCCCGTTCAATGAAAACAACAACAACAACACCATCACACAACCACCAACATGGTGAACAAGTACAACCATAACACCACCATCACTGATAACAAAAGAAAGACAACATCAACAACAAGAGCAACAAACAACAACAACAGCAGCAACAACAAAATGAGCAACAAACAATAATAAAAAATCATCACCACTACCTCCAACAACAGCATTATCAGCAGCAACATAATCACCACATCAACATCAACACCAACACCACCACCAACAACATCACCACCACCACCACCACCAGCCCCGACAACAGCAACAACATCACCACTACCATTGCCAACAACAACAACAACAGCAACAACAACAACAACAACAACAACAACAACATCACCACCACCATCCCCAACAACAATAACAACCCCACCACAACACCAACTTACTTAACTTTTTACTTTTTCATCCTCTGCTGCCTTTAAGCGTCGAGGGGAGATGCAGTTTTCTATGGTAGGCCAGCTCCGCAGCTCTTTCAGTTGTGATGTTACGTTTTCTCAGGATTTCCTTGACACCCTTGATCCACCTTTTGCGCGGCCTCCCTCTTCCTTTATCGCCTGAGTGCTTGGTGTTGTAGGCTCTCGAGGCTGGCTGGTCAGGTGACATGCGTAACAGGTGGCCAAACCATTTTATCCTCTGTCTTTCTATGTAACGCAGGAAGGACTCAGTGCCGATAGCTGCTCTCACTTCTTCATTTCTCTGCCTGTCTCGTCTTGAGATGTTAAGGGTTTTGCGGAGACATTTCATCTCGCATGCGGTGATTTTGCTTTTATGGGTTTTGCTTAAGGTCCAGATCTGGCACTGATAACTTAATGTTGGTATGAATATTGAGGTGATAAGCTGTCTCTTTGTGTCCATGGAGATGTTTGGATGAGATAGGAGGGGTGCGAGCTGGTAGGTGACAGGGTTGGCTTTTTGAGTTCGCAAGTGCTGCTAAGATATTTAAACTCTTTCACCCGTTTCAGTTGTTTACTATTGACATGGATGTTTAGGGGACTATGGTTTCGGCTCACTTTCATAACTTCTGTTTTTGATTAGCTTATTTTCATGTTGAATTTCTCACAGGTGTTGTTGAGTTCGGTAGTGTGATTTTGGAGGCTTTGTTGGTCATGATAAATTAGACATTGGTCGTCTGCAAACAGAAATTCATTTAGGCTTTCTGGGTTTTGGTTTGCTTCTTGCGTTATTGCGTCCATATATATTATAAACAAGAGGGGAGATAGAACACATCCCTGTAGTACTCCAGATCTTACTTTGAACCAGTCTGTATTTCCTTCTTTCGTTTTTACTGAGCTTCTGCTGTTGATATATATAGAG